ACAGCTAAGATGCTGAACAACAGCTCAACCTGGAGCTGGGCTGCCGTGAGTCGCCGGCAAGGGCGTAGGCTGCAGCCCCTGTGGCAGTGGGTTGCCATGGGCTACTGTGTGTAGCCAGCAGCCAGTGTGAGTGGCCAGCAGCCGCAGTGAGCGGCCATCCAGAAGCTGCTGACTGATCTGCCTCACCTGGGAAGAGTGCAATGGTAATACCAGCATGGGCCAGTGAAGCAACGTCCTCCACAACTAGATTGAAGAACAAAAATGACAGCAACTTGTCTGTTCCCCTTCTCCCAATTCCCCAGCACTGTTCCCATCCCCTCAATTCCCCAATAAAAATCTTTTTAAAAAAAAGCAATATTGACATATTGACATTGACATTAATGTGTAAAACTTTAGTTTTTTATGGATTTTCATTTTAATTATAGTTTTCTTTTTATGATTGCTACTGGATAGTGACATGATTAATTCAATAAAAATTTGTACTTAAATTTGGTATATATCTTGCTCTCATATATTAAAATAAATCACAATACTATACACCAAAATAATAAAAATGCCCAAGATCTACTTTTATGAGCTCTAAAAAGATATCCAATTTCTTTTCTCTCTCTTTTTTTTTTACCCATAAACTCAATTTTTCTCATGTCTCCTTTTCCAAGACATACAACACTGCTCGGGAGGATGTAAAGTCTGAGTGAAGCGTGAATATGATGGTTCCTTCCAATCCTGAGGCAGAGATAACTACTTTCTCCTTTAAGCTACTATTTTTTGAAAACTGATGATATTACCGCTGTTATAGTCACACATTGCAGTGACCTAGAAAGAGGGTAGGTGTATCCAGTTGTTACTGGTGACAGACTAAAATAATTACAATATGAAATTACTAGTGGACAAGCTGCAGTTGCTACACTGACAAAAAATTTATATCCACACGTCAAGTGCTGATAGTTTAGAGGTTTTTCATTACATACATCTAGTATAAGTAGTACACTTATAAAACCTGAAGGATTTCCAAAACGAGTCCTTACTTTTATCCTAATTTATAGTTTGGCAAAAGAAAAAAAAATAAAACTCTTTATATTAACTCCTATAGATGTGGTTGAGTTCACTTAAAGAGCTAGTACAAATGATGGTCCCTGGTCACTGTATGTGCCCACAGAAGCAGCGATATCCATGTAACTGGTACAGAAATGGGAACGAAGACATTGTAGTGTGTGTTCCCTTCCTTGAAATTAAACTATGATCACTAACTCAGTAGTGAACACTTACATAAAAGAAAAGGCGAACACTGCAAAATTTTTAACGAGTGTCAAATCACTCTCAATGCTGGGTCACTACATCTGGGTATTCAAAATGCATGTCCATGAAGATCTTATCAAGAAAGTTAGAGTAATTTCATTATTCTTAGATCATCAGAATTTAATATTTTGAGTATATTAACTTAAAACTAAATGTTATTAGATGAATGGATGCATGTGAATGGGTCATAAAAAGGAATATTGAATTCTAAGTGCTATACACTATGATTTTATCTACTCATCAGTATGTCAACTGATAAGTTAAGGAAAATAAAGTATAATTAGTTGACTTACATAATCACATTTATTCACATGCTATGTTTATGCGTTTTTACTAAAATATTCACTTTTGGTAATAAATAGAGTTTAGAATTTTAAAATTCAAAAAGAAAAGCTAACAGAGAAAGGAGTCATAAAACAAATTCATTTGTTAAAATTTAATTATTTATGAAGTTAGAATAGTTTTTACAGAACTACTCAAAATTGTAAAACTGATGCAACTGTAATACATTCAGTCTTCTTCAGAATCCATGAGTGGCTCTAACACCATTAGAGCATTTGCAAAGAAATCAGTGAAGTACCTGGCTAATTTAATGAAAGAATAGCAGGCAAATTACTAATTGGGAGATTTAATTAAAAGAACAAAAACAATTATGTTTAGGTTTAAGATAACAATCTCTTTTCCTGTGGCTTCTGAGGCCCAAGATGATTTAATAAAGTTGCACATGATAATTAAGTAAATTGGATACCTATGAAATCAGAGATAAGTTTTTACTGATAGACTTTCTGTGTTTAAAGTACAGTATACAGTGTATGTTGATGCCAATTATTGACAAGATTAATTGAATTATATATTCTCTAGTACTATAAACTCCCGATTTTCAGGATATATGAATACTCTCATATAATTCAAGTTTTCCAACTCAAATTAAATTTCAGTCAAATAGTGCTATTGGTTTAAACTAGGAGCAGGGGCTCTAACAATTTTTCCTTTAACAACCTCATTAAATGAGCGAGTCAGGAGTGATTGGTGAACTTAAGGTAGAATTTCCAACATCAAGTGCTAAATTAGAATTAGGGTAAAATATTGATTAATAATTTCCTGATAAATATATTTAATCATTAGACCTGAAAACTAAGAAAAGTCAAAGGAAATTTAAAGAGAGTGAAGCAAAGCAGGAAATAACAAGTACTTCTTGATTCTCTAAATCACTCTAATTTTCCTCATGGTTGTATTCCCACTGTCTTCAAATGAGACAAATATACAATTGCTAGTTATTCATATTACTATCGAACTCTTGGGATTTCTCAATGAAAAAGCCCTCCAAATTCCCTTCAAATAAAAAGTAAATTAGAAATGTGGAGTTTTCAACTTTAAATCCATCGAAAAAAGAGAATTGTAAGCAAATAAAAAAGATAAAGTCCAGAAGGATTTAAAAAAATAAGATAGTGTGATTTAAGTGATAAGTTTAAATGTAAAGCTTTCATTACTTTATTAGAAATATTTCATATATAAGATAATTATTTCTAGGTTTGTTTTTGTTTTGTTTTTTTTACTAGTAAAGAGACTAAAAAAGAAACATTATTTTACTTTTGGGATGTATTTTAAATCAGAGTAAGCTACAGACCACAAAAATGTCACTTTGCCTTCCCCTTATTCAGAAAAGTAAGTAAAATAATAAATTCCTAGCTTCCAAGAGTTGAAAGTTCACATTACTTAAATCCCTACTGAATAGATTAATCCTCTGTACCACATCAAAACGAACACTTCTCAATTCAGTAACAAAAATTTTTAGTACTTTGAGTAATTCCATTGTATTTTTGCATGACTTTGTTGGAATTATTTTTCCTACATTAAATCAGTGACCTTATCATTTACATCTATTTGTACTCAATTAAACTTAGTACCATGACCAAATGACAGCCCTTCAAACACTGAAAGACAACTCTTATTACCATACCAAGGGTTCTCAGCCATGCTTCCCTGTGGCATGGTTGAAAGTTCTGAAGTCATCCCAGCCTTTCTCATCCGAGCGTGTTACAATGTGTCAATTTAGTCTTTTAAAGAGAGAATACACTGTGCTTGACTGCATGGAATAAAACACAACATTCTATTCCCTGTTTCTGAGCTGTTCAGTTATTCATACATTAGAAAATGACCTGGAACTTTTGATAATGACACTGTTGACTTAATTCTTCAGTCATTTTTTTACCAATACAACACTTAAGGTAAATCTTCCAAATAATAACAATATTATAAATAACAATAAGTGCTAGATTTCCTGGACCCATGTTTGACAATTAGCAGTATCTTATCAAGTTTATAGTGTATAATATGACCTAACTGGTCATCTTCCCCTCCACATATCTGTAGTCCTATCACATCCATAATTTTCTCCAGCTTTTAATCACCTAAGAACTTGAGCAGCATTGCAAGTTTTCTCTCCCAATTCAGACAGCATGTTAAACAGGAGGCAATCTTGTGCCTACCACTAGAGAATTAAAGAATACATGATTTTACCTTCACTGAACTAGATAAAACTGTCACATTTTTCTGTATTTCCTATGAGTGTATCATGAAATATTTTGTCAAATGCCATGTTTTACTGACCCTTAAAAAAACAAAAGCTGTTGCTTTCATTCTTATACTGATCATTGCATTTATTTTTATTTTAAATTTCTATCTTAAAATTATAAGGAATATTTGGCCTCATGGCTATTAATTTACCTATCATCAAGCCTCACATATTATTCAGTAAAAAGTGGAGTACATACACACACATACATGAGTTAATTTAAATCAAGGCAAGCTTACGCCCAGGGAATTTAGTATTGTATGGCTATGCGAGATGACGTTAAGACTGGTTTCAATTTTTTTTTTTTTTTGCAACTTCACACCACAGAATAAACATGTTAGAGAACATAGTGTCACAAATGTATATTGAATTAAGTGTATTAAATAAGCCTACTCTTTCATTAGAGCCATAACCAAAACAGGTTAATTGGCAATGTTTGCAGATTAGTGTTCTCTAGTCTAAATTCATTCCTGAACCATATGGTATGACAACGGAAAAAACTGGTTTCTTAACATCTCTGCTTGATTTTCATAGTAATCTTCAATTGACCACCCCAGGTCCATTAAATGGGCACACTTACCTTTCTTTCTGCTAAAAGCTCGGTTCATGATGAGGATCAGCCAAATAAATGTTCAATTTGATCACAGTTTATATCCTATAAAAATAACAAAATATTAAAGCATAAATGAAGGAATGTTTATAAATCTCTTTTATGTAAATGCATTTTAATCACAAATTCTTTCAAATTTAAAAAAAAATATTTACAAACAATATTCTGAAAACTTCCAAAGGATCCTGGGTAAGAATAAATGTAAGTATTCAATATTATGAATGACCTAGCAGATAAGAAAAATATCTTAAATGAAATTCCTCTCGAGTTCCTTAATCTTCTTGTCTTTTTCCTACTACACATCTATTAGTTATATTTACCTGCAACTTTAAGGAGAAAAACTCTAGTAAGCAGACCAAGAATGAGGAAAGAGCCACCCACAAAGTTTAGAGAGAACAGTGCCTATAGCTCACACAAGAGCTAGCAGAGAGGGAGGGGAATTTCATACTTCATAGGATATCAATTAGATTACTAAGAAGTATCTCACCTTATAAGTAGAAAAAAATTAAAGCTATAATAAATGATCCTTTGGCCTCAATAAATCTTAAAATCAAAACCCCTGAATAATTTCCAGTAACTTCACTGTATCCCAAACTATGTTCAAAAACATTTTAAGAAATACACAAATATTTAACACCCAAATGGTAAAATTCATAGCCTAGTATCCAATTAAAAAAAAAAAAAAAGTAAGTATGCAAAGAAGCAGAAAAATACAATCTATAATGGAAAGAAAAATCAATTAAAACTGATCCAGAAATGATATATGATAGTAGTGATAGGCATGGGCACTCAGATACATTTCATTTACTCGAGAAGCTAGGGGAGAGATTAAACAGTTAGAGACAGAGAAGATGAAAAAAAAAAAACAAAGCCAAAAACACCACCCAAATCAAACTTCTAGAAATGAGACCACAATGTATGAGATAATAAATAAATACATACATACATACATACATACATACATACATACATACATACATACTAGATGGGACTAGTGGCAGATAAGACATGGCAGAAGAAGGGGAAAAAAAGGAGTGAAATTGACATTGAAATTATCTAAAATGTAACAGAAAAAGACTCTAATGCACAGAAGGAAGAAGGGAGAGGGAGGGAGGGAAAGAAAGAAGGAATGGTGGGTCACTGAATTACGAAAAAACTTCATATGCTCAAATAGTCCCTGAAGCAAAAGAGAGAGAGGAGAGGGACAGAAGAATATTTGAAGAAATATAGGCTGAGGATTTTCCAAAAATATGAACCCAAGGATTCAAAAAGCTTAACAAATCACAAATACAGAAAACAAGAAGAAAACTACACCATAACACATCAAATTGTTCAAATCAGGAACAGTGAGAAGATCTTTAAAGTAGCCAGAAAAAGGAAACATTGTATGCAGAAGAACAAGATTAGGCAGCAATTTTTGCATCTGAAACGTTGCAAACTAGCAGACAGAGGAGCAACATCTGTAAAATATGGAAGGACCAAAACTTAATATAAAAACAAAACAAAACACGTAATCTCATTATATGTGGGGGAAGGAAAGTAAGAGTAATTTTTTGAGTTTCTTTACAAAACACCATTATATATTTTTTGTTTTTCTCTCTCTTAAGAATCCAGAGGCAAGATCCTGTATTAAGTATTTATAACATGTTATAAACATCATTAGACAACCTTATAAATTCAATTGATAGCTACAGTAAATCTGGCCATGTTAAAAAATATAAATGGAATATTCAACATGATTAAAAAATTTATAATTCATAATTTATTAAAACATGATCACTCCAAGTTTAAAGCCAATTGGGAGGAGTTTTATTTTATTTATTTATTTATTTACTTTTTCATGTGGGAGTTGAACCAGCAAGCTTGCTGTTAAGAGCACATGCTCTATCCACCGAGCCATCTGGGCAGCAGCTCAGCTCAAGGTGTGGAGTTCAGTCTTAGTTGCGGGTGGGCATAGCCACCATTCCCTGCGGGAGTCGAACCAGCAGCCTTGTTGTTAAGAGTTCATGCTGTGTCCACTGAGCCATCCATGTGGCAGCTCAGCTCAAGGTGCTGAGTTCGGTCTTAGTTGCAGGCGGGCATAGCCCACCATCGAACAGGCAGTCTTGTTAGGAGCATGTCCTCTCACCAGCTGAGCCATCCTGCCACCTGTTGGCAGCTCAGGGAGGGGCAGCTCAGCTTGGGCACAGCTCAGTGGCCCATGTGGGAATCGAACCAGCGACCCTGTTGCTCAGAGCTCACACTCTTAAGCTAACTCTTAACCAACTGAGCCACTCGGCCGGCCCTCGGGAGGAGTTTTAAATCTCTAAAGAAAAATTTTAAAACATAAACATTAAAGGTAGATGTCTTTAGATGAGTTATTTTCATCTCAAATTTTATGTAAAAACCAGTAACCACATTGACAAAATATTGTGAGCTCAACTGGTATTAATTATTCTATAAATTCAACATTTTGTAAGGCTAATTAAAAAAAAATGGTTTGTAGTCAACAGTCCTTTCTTTAAACAAATTTAGCATATCCAGGTTGCAAAACTGATTTACCAAAGGAAATGCACTGATATTTATAGACTAATTCAGAAGTTTAGAGTGACTTTTAATGACTGTCAGTTTCCTGCTTTGCAACCTGCTGCCTAAGCTCTTATTTAAAAATAATGAAATCATACTTTATGACTCAAGAAACTATATATGGTATGAATATTCAAACCTATAAAACAGCTGGTTCTGAATTTCATTTTTATCCTTATGAGTGTGTTTAAAATCAAATTTTCCTGGAATTCTTTCAAGGTTGATTTTTTTAAATCTGAAAATTGATTAAAACATAGTTCACATTAATATAAGTCATAAATCATTTTAAAGTCTTGTTGTTCACCAAGAGATCAGAGATGATGCTAAAATAATGAAGTCTGATCATTAGGTTTGTTCTAGGAAGATAAATTAGGTGAAGTTAAAAAAAATACTATATATATATAAATATATAAATATAAATATAAATATAAATAATATAAATATAAATATATATGCTTCTCCTATAAATACACACAAGGTGTATTTTTTACTCAAACCTTTTGTGTGCTTTTCTAAATATGTAATTCAGGAAGGTAATCGTGAGAGAATGTCAGACAAGTTTAGATCCTGCACTAACTCCTTCAGGTTGCTAATACTCTAAAAGTAGTGGCTAACTATTGGAACTTCTTGGCTTGGCAACTGCTAACAAGGCTTCCAAAATTGTACTTAACTCATTTATGAAACTCTTCTTGATCAAATAGTTAGTGTCTATTGTAAAGTTCTCTGCTTAAATCTTCCAATTGTAAGACATCTTATAATACGTTTCTTCATTGTATTTTATGACTGTAATTTGCAAAGTCTTTGCGTTTACAGATCAATACTATCTAAGCATAGACAAGAAAATTAACCAATACAAAAATTGAGAAATTTCACATTACCGGGAGGGCAATATGTGCTAAAGAATATATACATTTATAATTTTATAAGAAATAGCAACATTAGTGTTTTCTGAAATTCCCTGATTTGGGATATGAATGCTTATCATTATTTTCCTTTTTCTATAATATTGACCAACATCTCATAACACTCATAAAAAATCCTTTGCTCTCTCAATAGATATATTTTGAGACCACATTATGTGACAAGCATTACAGGAGTGAAAAAGTAAAAATAAGGGGCCGGCCAAGTGGCTCGTTGGTTAAGAGTTGGCTTGGGACGCCAGCTCTGAGCAGGAGGGCCACCGGTTCGGATCCCACATGAGGACCAGTGACGCTGCCCTCTACAGCTACAATGGTGAACAATAGCTCTACCTGGAGCTGGGCTGCCATGAGTCACCGGCGACAGTGTAGGCCACAGTGGGACTGCAGTGGGCTGCCATAAGCTACCGTGAGTGGCAGGCAGCCAGCGTGAGCCACCGTGAGCGGCCATCCGATGGACAGCGACTGATCTGCCTCACCCAGGAAAAGCACAATGATAATACCAACATGGGCCAGTGAAGCGACGTCCTCCTCAACTAAACTAAAGAACAAAAGAACAGCAACTTGTCTGTTCCCCTCCCCGATTCCCCAATGCTGTTCCCTCCCCCAATTCCCCAATGGAGAAAAAAAAAATCTTAAAAAAAAAAAGTTAAAATAAGTATGACATGGTTCTTGCTTTCAAAGAATTTTCTATCTTTAAGTGGTAGGGGGAATGGGTGTGGGAATCTGTGGATTGGGACAAGCCCTATAGAAGAGGTAGATACCATTGAGAAAGAGTAGATGAAGCAGAGAATGACTGTTTTGTTCAGCTTCAGAGTAGATGTGAATAGCATTTCTCAGATGACTGAAGGCTAAAGGTGAGAAGAGAAAAGAAGGTTTCAGTCAGAAGGGCAGAACACCATCGTATGCAGTGTGTTTATTATGGGCAAGGGGCTCCCAGCCACATGGCTACTGGCCTTCAAGAAGCCATCCGCGGCCCTCATGGAGGTCTCATTTAGGATATTCTGCAACACGTTTGATTGGGAGTGGGCGAAGGTCTAAAGGGAGCACTTCGGGCACCTGATAATGTGGCCAAATCTTCAGAATGGCTTTTTGTGAGAAAACCTTAATACACAAGATCCAGAAATATCAGGCCTGTGAAACAAAATAAAAACGGTCTGAATTTCCACCAATGCCAAGAGTCAAGTCAAAATAAAGGCCAGAATGAATCAAAAAGAAAAATGGGATACAGCTTATCCTTCCTAACAATGAAAGCTACGAAATTTGAACCGCTTTATTCTGACAATAACACTTGCTGTAATGATGAGGCCTATTCAAAAGTGATTTCCACAGCTGTAAACCCTCTAGGTATTACACCATAAGTATCTGGGCAGTAATTATGGCAAAGTTGAGATATCACAAAATCCCATGCAGAGACTGGGCACTATAGAGTGCCCCTTGTTCCAGTCTATCAGCCTAAAGGGAGGTGGCACCACCACTCAGCACCTACAGGAGGGAGGGGATATCAAGGGATCCTTTTGGTGTCCTGAAGACCAAAAGAGTTAAACTCCAGGGAAGGAGCTG